GACAGGTGGATCTCTGTGGTCTTAATTCTACCCGAGGTCAAACAGACCAGGTCATAGCAAAGCAGGACTGTCATGGAATCAGGGTGAATTCTGAAAACGGCCAGTTTTACCCCAAAATTGGGCACTGTCAGGAAGCCACAGAGGGACTTAGTTAAAAGGAGCTGGCCTATGAAAATCCCCCCCTTATCCTCAGGGGAGACAGGGTCCCAAAGCCAGACACTGCTTTCGTATATATTTATATGGTATATATAATATTTTTCCATATATAAAGACATATATGTGATAAAAATATAATATATCTTTTACTCACTCTGTAGCATGAGGTGTTGCCAGAGTCAGAAAAAAAAAGTCAATTTGATATTTAAAGTAGTCATTTTTCTCTTTTGACGCAAACCAGCTTGCTGGGAAGACACCTATCAGTCATCTATATATCTATCAATAATCCATCAATAATCTATCTGTCTGTCTAGCCATCATCTATGTATCTATTATTTATCTATCATCTATCAATCACCACTAATTTCGAAACTATGTATCTATAATCTATCAATAATAAATAATCGATCAACCGTTTATCTATTTATCCATCATCAATCAATCAATCACCACTGAATGAAAAACTCCCCCCACTGAGCCGGGACCTCAGCCCCACTTTTGGAGCCTGGCTCTTCCCAACCTGCCTTTGCCTGGCCATCAATCAGCGTCCGCCCTCGTGCCTTGGCGCCTCCCTGCAGCCCCGGTCAGCCTAAGAGGACCAGGACTTGGGGGTCCGGCTCTGGACCCCACTTTTCTTCTCCCCCACGCGCGCTCAGAGGCCTGGCAGCGGCCATGGCGGCCCACAGCCTTGGCCAAGCGCGCCTGGAGCAGGCAGGGCAGGCGGAGGTTGGCGCGCAGGGGACACCGACTTTTAAAAGGATCCGTAGGGGGCTGGGGGTCCCCGAGGTCACTGCAGCGAGCCATGGTGACCAGAGCGCCTGGGACGATGTACATGGCGGGTGGCGATGGGCGCCATGGCCGGTGCGCTCCAGGGCCCGTGCATAAAAGCGCCTTGGAGAGCCTGGGGCTGCGCCCTGCGCTCCCCCGCCTGCCTGGGAACCCCAAAGAGTTTGGGGACTTGGGCAGCCTGGACGCCTATTACCGGCTGTGGGTCGGTGGCTGCAGCGTGTCCAGGTCCCCAGCAGGGTCCCCAGGTCCTGGGCTGCGCCCTGGAGGAGGGAAGGGCGCAGGCTGGGGCGCCATGGCGCGGGTGGGGAGGGAGGAGGCCTGGACAGGACAGCGGGGAGGGACCGGCGGGGTCAGCCTGGGGGAGGGACAAAGGAAGTGTCTTGGGGGGCTGGGGGGGGACAGAGCCATGTTGGGGGAGGGGAAAGGGCCTGGCGTCAGTCTTGGGGGGCAGGGTGGGGGTTTGTCGGATGGGCCCTGTGGCGCGGGGGAATGGGGCCGGGCTTGTGCTGGAGGACGGACAAGGGGCGGGTCTGGGTGTGGGGGACAGGGCCGTGCTAGGGGGTGTCCAGTGGGACGAAGCCCTGGACCTTAAGGAATGTCTTAGAAAGGGGGGGCACGACCATGGCCGTGCTGGGGAGGGGCTTGCTTTAGTGTTGGGGTTCAGGGTCCCCGCAGGGTGGGATGTGGGGGGCAGCCAGGGCCCTAAGGAATGTGTCTTGCAGAATTGAGGGGGGACAGGGCCAGGCTGGGGGAGGAGACAGGGCCAGGCTGGGGGAGGGGACAGGGCCAGGCTGGGGGAGGGGAGAGGTCTTCTTTAGTCTTGGGGGGAAGGGCCAGGCTGGGGGGGGACAGGGCCAGGCTGGGGGAGGGGAGAGGTCTTCTTTTAGTCTTGGGGGGGGGCCAGGCTGGAGGGCAGGCCAGGCTGGGGGGGGACAGGGCCAGGCTGGGGGAGGGGAGAGGTCTTCTTTTAGTCTTGGGGGGACAGGGCCAGGCTGGGGGAGGGGACAGGGCCAGGCTGGGGGAGGGGACAGGGCCAGGCTGGGGGGGGACAGGGCCAGGCTGGGGGAGGGGAGAGGTCTTCTTTTAGTCTTGGGGGGACAGGGCCAGGCTGGGGGGGGCGCAGCAGGGGGTTCTGGGCTCTCAGTCGGGGAGGGGCGAATGGGGGAAGGGGTGTGCTGGGGGCTGGTGTAGTGTGGGGGGGCCAGGATCCCTCCTGGAAGGGGGGGCGTGGACAAGGGTCCCTATGGGGTGGGTCTTTTGTTAGGGGGTGTTAGGGACGTGCTCAGGGGTGTCTGTTGGGGGCATTGCGTCCCCCAGCATCCCAGGGAAGTCTTCAAGCTTAGGGAGGGGGCGTACAGGGGGCGGGAGTAGGGGCGGGGCTTAGTGATGGATAGGTTGGGGAAGAGGAGCAGGAAGGGGAGGGTCTTACTGATGGATAGGTTAGGAGGGAAGGAAAGCAGGAAGGGGCGGGGCTTAGTGATGGATAGGTCGGGGGGAATGAGGAGCAGGAAGGGGCAGGGCTTAGTGATGGATAGGTTGGGGAAGAGGAGCAGGAAGGGGAGCAGATGATAGGGGCAGGAAGGGGCGGGTCTGAGTGATGGATAGGTGGGGGGATTAGGGCGCGTTGGGGCGTGGCTTAGAGCTAAGGGGGCGTGTCCCCGCTCGTTGGGACACAAAGCCTGGCATGACGGTTGGCGGCTGGGGACTCACAGCAAAGGGACGGGAGGGTTTCTGGTTTCTGAGTGCTGGGGATACGTGAGGCAGGCATGTTAGAGAACGGGGGGAGGGGAAAGGAAGCACTGGGGGCGGCTGAGGTGCGTGTTGCGGTGTTGGGGGGCAGGGCCCCTTCCCTGCTGGGCGGCTGTGGGAAGTGGGAAAGCGTGCTCATGGGGTGAGGGTTAGAGAGGGAGATAAGGGCCCTGCTGGAGGGGGAGGGGCAAGGGGCGGGTCCAAGTGATGGACAGGCCGGGGAGCGAGGGGCGTGGCTTGTGGCTAGGGGGCGTGGCCTCGCTGTTGCTATATAAAGCCTTCCGGAGGCGTGGGGGCTCCTAGAGTGCGTTGGGGCCCCAAGGACGGGGCCAGGCGGGAAGGGGTGGTGTTAGGGGGGATCTGGGATGGAACAGGCGGAACTGGGGCCACCAGAGGTCCTGATAGTGTGTGGGGTCCTGGGTTGAGAGGGTTTGGAGGTGTCCTTGTGTGGGGGGTGACAGGGATCGGGTCATGTTGGGGGGCAAAGCCACCCTGGGGGAGTACAGCGTGTTGGGGTCACTGGGTCATGCTGGGGGGTGTGGAGGCCAAGGTCCCCATGGCACCCCGGGGTCTTAGATTGTGGGGTGACCTCGGACCCCCCATTTGAAAGTAGGGGCTCATGACCCTTTAGGGGGCCCCTGAGCCCCGGGTCGGGATAGGCAGTGCTTAGGGTGTGTGAGGAGGTGGAGTGGATGTTGGGGAGACTAGGACGCTTTTGGGGGGCAAAGGGTGCGAGTTAGGGGGTATCCTAGATTTGTGGGGTGGTCAGGGTGGAGTAAAGGGTGGGGGAAGCGGCCAAGGGGCAGGACAGGGCAGATCTTAGCTTTGTGGGGTGCCTGAGGGGTGCAGGAGCACAAGGAGGGGGACCAACTTAGCGGGACCCCCTTTTTCTCCCCAGACCCTCCCTTCACCCTTCTTCCTTCCCTTCCCCCAGTTTCTGGCTCTTCTTGTCCCCGAACCCCCAGCTCCTGGCGCCAAGAACTCGCCTCCATCTGCATTTTGCAGACTCCCCCGTGTCCACCCTGGCCCCAGACTCTTCCTCGCTGTCCCCCAAAACCCCCAGACCCCCAGCCCCCAGCTGGGGTCCCACGCACCTGGAGGGGGGCCAGGCGGGTCCTGGAGACCTCTGTGCACCCCAGAGTCGGGTGAATCCCATGACCACCACAGGAACCTGACCTTGGCCCTAAACTCAGGCTGCAGGATGTGGGGGTGCAGCCCCCCACCGTGAAACCCGATTCATCCCTGGGGCGGTGCTGGGAACCGGTTCTCCCCGGGGGGGGGGGCCCACTGTAAACCGGGGTTTCCAGAAGACATTTAATCCTGCTTAGGACTCTGAGCTCCTGGGCCGCCCGCCCCGGGTCTCCCTAAACTCCCCCTGGGAGGTGTGTGAAGGGGGGTGTTGAAAAGAGGAGGTGCACCCCGCAAATGCAAAGCTCAGAAATGGGGTGCAGGGGGGGAGGGTGAGAACAGACTTCGGCCTGTCCTGGGCCAATGCAAGGTCTTTGCGTTTTACAGATGTGCCTCGACTGATCGACAGATGGAGTTGCACCCGAAATGGAAAATACGGTGAGTCAAACACTGAGGCCCCTCCCACCCAAATTCCCATCACGGTTGCCTAGCAACATGGCTCACCGCAGGGTGTCCTAATGGGATTTGCCATAGGTGCTGGGGCGCAGGTGCAGAAAGGGAGGTGACAGAGAGGAAGGTGGCTTTTGCTTCAGGTGGGCCTGGGGTTTTTGGACCTGCTCTCCGACTGACTGGACATCTTTGTAGGCTGGCCGGCCGGTCACTGGGTCATTTTATTTCAGATCCTACATTGCAAACTTCTCTGGACTCGTTTGACGGGTGCAGCTGTGCGTGGAGTCCCCACGCCCACCCGCCCAGTGAGGAAATCTGGGGTGCGGTCAGGGCCCTGGCAGGGGTCACTGGTGGTCATTTTCTCTGTCGCAGGCGCACAGGGGGAACAGGCCACAGCAGGGCTGCAGCCACGGCCGCCAGGTGTTCAGCAGGGTGCCCAGCTGCTGGTGGACGGGGCTGAGCGTCCTTCTGTGCTCGTCCACCGCCTGCTGGACGCGTCCCACCACCTGGAAGAACGAGGGCTCGGTGTCGGGCGTCAGGGCCCGAGTCTCCGAGGGGTCTTCCGAGAGCTCGAAGAGCAGCGGCGGGTCGTGTTCAGCCACCTGCTCCCCCGCGCAGGGACACACGCCTTTCCCGTAGCAGGCACCTGCTCCCTCCGGGTGGAAGATCGGGGTCCGGTAGTGAACCTTCCAAATTGCTCCTCCTGGTGTCAGGGGAAGAACGGCTCGGGGTTGACATTGAGGAACAGGACGCCCGGCTGGAAAGCAGTATCAGTGAGCAGCGCCCAAAAGACAGCAGCAACCAAGTGACCATCGACGAGGCAGTCGGTAAACACGGCTGTCCTCTTTTAACCCGGTGGAGTATTACACAGCCAGGAAAAGGCACGGTGCCCTGATGTGTGCTACACCTGATGTGCACCAGGCAAGAAGAAGCCGCCAAGCCAGAGTGACTTGGTCCCCCAGGCTCTTCCTCCACCCTCGGCTTTCAGGCCACCCCGAGGCTTTGTCCCCGAGGCTTGGGGACACTTTGCTACTCACGTTCCCGCTGGTGCCACCGGGCCGCGTGCAGGTGTGACTCGCAGTAATGCATGAGGAACTCGTGTCCCGAGTAACGGGCCGTCCCCAGCAGCAAGGGCAGGAGGTCATGGCCGTCCAGCGGTCTGTGCGACGAGAAAGACGAGATCTTGTGAGCCAGAAAGCTGCAGTCCTGCAAATGGCCCTAATGACACTGGAGGCAACGGGACGAAATTTTGGGGTGCATCCAGCTGTTTTGCAACCAAAGCTGCAGAATTTCGCAAAGGAGAATGTTGTAATTTGCCGGGTTGGGTAGCTGTCACCACGTCACCGCCTACCTGTCCTGGGGCACCAGGCCGCCCCCCAGCCGGACCACGGTGGGGAAGACGTCCATCAGGCTGGTGGGCTCGTCGATGACCCGGCCAGCGGGCAGGACCCCCGGCCACCGCAGGATCCCGGGGACACGGATGCCACCTTCCCAGCCACCCATGCCTTTGCCTCCTGTGAGAGAGGAAAGGCAAAAAAACGGATGAAAAATGAGGCCAGGTGTTGTGGCTCCCGCCTGTAATCCCAGCTGGTCAGGAGACTGAAGCGATGGGGCCACAGGACAAGGGGACAGCTGGGGTCCCAGGAGCTGGAAGAGGCATGGAGGACCGGACAATGGGGTCTCACTTGGAAATAGGGTCTTTGCAGAAGGAATGAAGGGTCTGGAGATGAGGTCATATTGGACTCACGCCATTGGGCCAGGCCGCCATATTGGAATATGGTCAAGCTCCATAGAACTGAGGGCAGTGGTGACTTTTCCAAAGCTGTGTCACCTGGGACCTCAGAATGGGACCCCATTTGGAAATAGGGTCTTTGCAGATGGGATTAAGGTCTTGTGGTCATCCTGGACCAGCTGTGTCACCCACTCCATTGGGCCAGGCCGCCATATTGGAATATGGTCAAGTCCCATAGAACTGAGGGGAATGGTGACTTTTCCAAAAGCTCTGTCACCTGGGACCTGACCATGGGACCTCATTTGGAAATAGGGTCTTTGCAGTTGGCAGGAGTCTCTTTTGTAAGCTGTTGTTGCTTTTTCTGGGCTGAATAGTATTCCCCAAGTATTGACCCCCACCCCAACCTGATGAGCACACTTGGAAATAGGGTCTCTGCAGATGGGATTAAGTGTCTTCAGATGACATCATCCTCGATGAGGGCGACCCTAAATGCAATGGGAGTGTCCTTATAAGAGACAGAAGAGGGGACACAGATGCAGAGGGCCACAAAATCCAACCTGGATGCACACGCTGGTGAATGGACAGACGCAGTGTCTTCTGTCCACACACTGGAATATTATGCAGCCATGAAAATGGGCGAAGCCCTGCCATTTGGGGGCTGGATGGCCCCCATTCCTGGGGGACGATTGGGGCCCCAGGGTCGAAAGCATTTGACCAGAACCAGCAGCTGGACCCAGCCCACCTTTGTAGATCCCATTCCAGCCGCCATATTGTTTTCCTCTCATCTGAGCCTCCAAGGACCCCCCGTGGTCAGAGGTGAAATAAACCAGGGTGCGGTCGGCCAGGCCCTCCTCGTCCAGCACGTCCAGGATCCGTCCTGGGAAGGCAGATTGCGGTCAACACACGCGACCATCCCAGCCGAGCACCGGCTCTCACGCCCGTAATCCCAGCCACCCAGGAGGCGGAGATGGGGAGGATCGTGGTTCGAATCCAACCGGGGCAAATAGTTCTCGAGACCCCATCTTGAAAAAAAAAATCACAAAAGATGTAGGCCCCGAGTTCAAACCCCACTAGGAACACAGCTATCCCATGTCCCATGGTCACAAATGCGTCTTTCACTGGCTGCCATTTTTTTTGTTGTTTGGTTGTCATTTATTGATTTTTCTTTTTGAGATAATGTAGCCCAGGCTGGCCTCGAACTCCCGCTCCTCGAGCTTCTGCCTCCCGAGAGCCGGGATTACAGGCATGTGCCACCACGCTCGGCCTCCTTTGACTTTTCACCTGACGCCATCTGTAGATCTCAACTGGGTTATTCTGTGACCCTGACACCCAATCTTGTCTCCCTGCATCTGTCCGTCCATCTTTCCTTCCTCATGTCCCACTGTGGGTGGCCAGCTGGGGACCCAGGGCCTTCCCTCCATTTGCCCATCTGTCACTCACCCACCATCCAGTCCATCTCCTCCACATTGTCCCCGTATAACCCATGGACACTGCGCCCGATGAACTCCTTGGTGGTGACCAGGGGGGTGTGGACGTGTAGGAAGGACACGAAGAGGAGGAACGGCCCGTGCTTGTTCCTAAAAATCAACATTCATCGAGTGACTTTCTGTGACATTCACCGAGACGTTCATCGAGTGACTTTCTTTGATGTTCATCGACTGACTTTTTGACATTCATAGAGTGACTTTCTTTGGGAAAACAGAAATAAGAGCCCCTGATTTAAGGGACACACTCGATACACGTAAGTGACGCATTTTCCCCTTCTAAAATCCTGTGGAAATCCTCGCTGAGCCCGGGTGCAGTGACCCCCGCCTGTAATCCTGGCGACATAGGAGGTGGCGATTGGAAGGATCGCAGTTCCAGGTAGAAAGTTAGCGAGATCCCCATCTTAGGCGGGAAGACCTCTGCCTTCCGAGCAGCCGGGATTACAGGCGTGGGCAGCGGCTCCCTCACCTCTTCAGGAAGGTTGCGGCCTCCCTGAGGAAAAGGGACGCGGTCCTGTGGAAGACCATGGGCTGCTCGGTGATGTCGTGGTTCCTCATGAGGAAGCAGTCGGCGTGGACGATCAGATCCCCCAGGAAATACCGTGTTGTGAAAGTCACGGCAGCCACCACGGTCAACCCGATGACCGGCGCCCAGGAGACGCGGATGAGGTGAGTGAGCTTCCCGGCGGCCAAGGTGAAAAGGGCTCCGGTCAGCAGCTGGAGGCCGAGGTTGAGCTTGTGCTGCAGGCTGACCCGCTTCTCGGACAGCTCCCACTGCTGGCAGTCGGCCATCATGGTGAAGGGCATGCCGTAGAAGTGACCGAAGCCGTGCTGCAGGGGGTGGTGGCAGTGGTCGGTGGCCGTGGCACAGTTAAGACCCAAGTGCCACTTCCCTGGGGGAGATGGGGGAGAGGAGCGAAGTTGTGCGGTGGCCATGCACGGGGGTGGATCTGACACCATGTCCATCACAGCCTGACCCCCCTGGCGCCGTCAGAAGGACAGCGGCACTACAACCTGTCCACCAGTGCAGTAGGGCATGTCTGTAATCCCAGCACACGAGGCCAGGGCATTGTGGGTCTGAGGCCAGCCTGGGCAGCAGAATGAGACCCGGGTTGCCCAAAAAATAAAAGGACCGTCCACTGATGGACTCATAGCTCAATGGATGAATCCACTGATAACTGATAGCTGGATGGATTCATAGCTGAAGTAGTGGGTCCTTTAAGAGGCGGGGCCTAAGCGGAGGAAGTGATGTCACTGGGGGGGTGTGGCCTGGAAAGGGAGATTGATGGGCTCATGGCCTAGTGGGATCTTTGCAGGTGGAGAAGCGGAAGTGATGTCATGGGGCGTGGCTTGCGGGAGATATTTTATGCACAGCTACTTCCTGTCTCTGTCTTGCCTTCCTTTCTACCCTGATGGGAGCTGCTTTGCTCCTCCACCTTCTCCAGCCGTCTTGTTCTGCTTCCTCATGGCCAAAACCCACGGGGCCCAGTGACCATGGACTGTCACCTCTGACACCATGACCCAGAGTCCACCTCCCCTCCTTTATCCTGAGTTTGTCAGGTGTTTTGTGACAGGCACCCAAGGCTAACCCTGCTACCGTCAGTCAGTCAGTTTACTAACCTGGGTCCAGATGTCCTGTCCATAGCCGAGGATTGATGGCGACTCGGTCACCCCGATGGTGCAGAAAGCTCGATGGGTGTAGACCAAGTACTCTCGGCTTTGACCTTGCGTCTCACCTGGCCAACGCCCTGCCATGGCGCCCAAGGTCAAGATGGGGACATTTGTTTCACAAAACACAGCTTTCAGGTTCAAAGGAAGGTTTTCTATGGAGTCAGGAGTGGGGTGTGGACTAAGAGACATCTGCGTTTTGTCACCCGCCGTGATGTGGCTTTGAGGGACACAGTTTGTGTCGGAAAAATGAGTCTCAGGGGATTTCATATTCAGTCTGTGGGCGACTTTATTAAATTTGTGACCGGTCACTGTCCCCGTGAGCACGAGTCAGCGATAATAAGAATTATGACTCCAGCACGATGGGGATGAAGAAAGGAGTCTCCTCCCAAGAGTCTGTTGTCCTGAATTTCTATTATTCGCTCGACACCTGACTTGGTTTGTTGACTGCATATTTTTTATTTAAGTCACGAGGATGTCATTACTAAGCCTTGAAACCACATTTCCTATTTGCTACTTATCATCATCTGTCTGTCTTTACTGAGTTATCGTGACTCGTGGTCTCACTACATTAGGCAGGTTGACCTTGAACTCGCAAGTGACCTTCCTGCTTCAGCCTGACGCCCGGCTGGGACTACAGGTGCACCCGGCCGCGCCTGGCCTTTGCCGTGCAGTTAAGATGGCGGAGCAGGGCGTTGCAGGAAACTTCTGATCATTTATTGTGTGAATTTTCCTTGGATTTTCCTCTGTCCCTCTCAGTCTCCGTTTCTGCGTGCATTTCGGATCCTGCCCACGGGAAAACTCAGGCCGGTCCTCCGACTGGGTCCCTAAAGGTTTACTTAGCTCAGTTCTCCGTACAAATTAGTGCAATTAAAACCCGTACGTACCGATGAGTCCTGTGACGTAGCCTTGGTCCTGGAGGATCTTTGCAAACGTCACCTCGTTCCTCGGAAGTCCCCCGGGGACCCCGCTCCACTGCAGGACGCGGTTCCCGTTGTTGGAAACCATTCCTTCGATCAGTTGTTTAAAAAATATTAATATTTGGTGTTTGGCTTGGGTTTACTGTTAACTCTGACAAACCTGCACCCTCGGGGCCGTGTGCAAAATGACCCAGTCAATATTGTGAGGCCGTAGATGATTTGAAAATGCGAATTGCACGCCCATATGGTTATCAGCCTCAGAAACTGTCATTTTAGCTGGTCAGGTTGGACCTGGGGTTTGGGAATGGTGGTGGCCATTGATGTCACTCTTGTCCCCAGCCCCATAGCCTGGACCTCGACCCTGGGGTTGAAAGTTCAAAATGTGCCCCAAAGGCCGTAGGATTTCCAGAGTCTTGCCTGGCAGGTGAAGGGTGGTGTGCGCCTCAGCAGGGGACGGGTGACAGGGAATCACGAGGGTCAATCAACAGGCACGGGGCGGTGGTTGAGGGGACACCAGAAGGACAGCAGCTTTTATTGGGGTTTTTGACAGGCTAGTGTCACTTGTCCCCATTTGTCAGTTTAGATGGGATTTCGGGGGTCGCCCTCGAACCTCGGGCCTCCCAATCTCCAGATCTGGAGTAGCTGGGATTACAGGCGTGAGCGGGTGGCCGTGGGGACCTGACCTGATCGGATGGGGTATCTCCCCGTCAGGAAGGCGGCTCTGCTCGGGGTGCAGACCGGGGCCGCAGCCAGGTGCTGGGTCAGCCGCACACCCTGGTCAGCCAGGAGGTCGATGTTGGGGGTCCTGCCGGGAGGGGGGGGGACAGACGGACAGCGTGACCGTGGCCCCGAGATCACTGGGGTTTTCATGATCATGAGGGAGTCACCGAGGCAACCCCGAGAGTGACAAGGACATCCAGTCGACACCAACTGGACAGCCAGATTCAGCACGGTGGACCGGGTGTCCACTCTGCAGCACTGGTCCGGGACGCTGGGCATGGTGGGAAATTCCCACCTGCAGCTCTTGGCCGCCATGTTGCCAGGTGTCCCCCAAGCCAGACACTGGGGTCAGGTGTGGCCCCTCTTGTCGGGGCCCCAAAGGCCCTGACCATATGGCAAAGGTCACGTGGACTTTCCTCTAGAAAGAAGAGTCAGGACGTGACAGATGACCCTGTTGTGTCCTGGGCTTGGGGACACTGTGGCTTGTGTGTCTGAAGCTTGGATTGTCACCAAGGCAGCGTCACCAAGGCATGTGGCTGTGGCTGGAGGGACGGGGACTCGAACTCGCCACCTGGCAATTAGTGGTGATCAGTGAACCTGCTTCGGAGAACGTGGACTACCACTCCCAGAATTCCCAGCGGCGCACCGGCCACCCCTGCTTCCTCTTCCTCTGCAGAAGGGGCAGATGGGAAATTCCCGGGACCTTACCTCAGTGTGGTGTTGCCGTAGCAACCAACATCTCCAATGCCAAGGTCGTCGGCCATGAGGAGGAGGATGTTGGGCCTGGGGCCAGAGGTGGTGAGGTGGCTGCAGGACGGCCCCAAAGTCAGGAGCACGGACAGGAGGACAGACACACGGACCCTGAAACACAGGACGTTAGAACGATGGCCAGTGCTGTGCCCCGTAATGCCAGACACAGGGGAGGCAGAGGTTGGGAGGATCATGGTTCGAGGCCAGACCCCGTCTCGAGTCGTAAGCCAGGCGTGCAGGCACACACCTGTAATCCCAGCTACACGAGGGTCGGGACCCTAGGCCAGCGTGGGCAAAATGGGGAGGGGAGGGACGTTAGCAAGTGCGATGCCCCAGGTTCAAATCCCAGTACCGCCAAAAATCAAAAAATACCCCCAAAGGAATAGAAATGCCCCCCTTTGACTTCTGAGCCGGCCGATGTCCGATGAGAAGTCAGTCAACTCACGTGCGGGAGAGAGTCCCGTGACGGGGACCCCAGAAGGCTCACGATTAATAATCGGGTCCCACGTCTGAGCCTGCCAACGCGCCATGGGTTCTGAGGTGACAAGGCCCCAGGGCTGTCACTGTGCCCTGAGAGAGTGGCAGAGAGGAGGGAGAAGTGACAGACGCACGTCACCGCACTCACCACGGCCGTCCCCGTCCCGCCATGTTCTCTCCTGCGTTGTATTCCTGCAAGACGGAAAGGGGGTTCAGAGTCAGGCGGGCGGCAGGGACTGAATTCGCTCTTGGGTGAAACAGCAAGGATCTTGACTCGATTTTGATGTCCGACCCTAAGAGACTCCTCTCCTTCATCTATGGCGTCAGTCTGGGTGTCTTCTGGCCAACGGATGAATAAAGAAAATGAGGTACGGAAGCACAGTGGAGTACTATGCAGCCAGGAAAATGGATGCAATGGAAGTGGAGGTCATCGCAGTGAGCGAGGTCAACCCAGCTCAGGAAGAAAAGTGTCAGCAGTTTTCGGTCCTGTGTGGAATCTGGACCTTAAAAAGCCAATATCTCCCATCTATCAATCAGCTTGGACCTTAAATGTCTCCCAAAGGCTCCTGTGTGAACCAAATGCTCCCAACCTGAGGGTCTGTTGAGAGGTGGATGTGCCTTTAAGAGGCGGGGCTTACTGGGAGGAAGTGATGTCATGGGGGCGGGGCCTGCAAGGGGAGATTGATGGATTCGTAGCTCTCGGGTTCGGGGTGAGGGTGGAGCCTGTAAGGGGAGGGGCCTAGTGGGAGGGAGTGACGTCATGGGGGCGTGGCTAGAAGGCAGGTTTGAACTCTAGGCTGTCTGTCAATTGGGTTTTCTCTGGTTGCAGCTGTTTAGGGAAATTATCTTTTCCTACCGTTTTTCCCTTGTGCAATGAGTATGCACCTGTTGTATAAGTAAAGAGGTGTCAGCGAAGGCATTTCAGGGGTTCCTTTTGGATACCACGTAACTGGGGTGATGTGTTAGGAGACCTGGCCACATTCAAAGTTTCTGCTCCCCAGGAGCAAAGTGGGACGTGGCGGTCCCTAAGGGGTTTTCAGCCGGGACTGTCCATTTCAGACCTGCTGGCCTTTGTCTGCTGTGGGTCAGAAATCAGACAGACAGAAGGACCCCAAGCCAGCTACGTCCCAAGACCTCCACCCAGCCGGCGACCCCATTAGGGTTTTAAGGGACGTCTGTGTTGTCTCTTAGCCGGATGTCAACGGTGATGGAAAAAAAGTCCTGAGATCCACAAAGCCAAGGGCAGGCTTCGGGCCCATCCATTGGTGATGTTGAATGCCCTTGAACCCTACTAAAAAGTCCTACAAAGGGACCACATTTTGTGCCAGTCAGCTTTACACTGCTGTGACCAAATACCCAAAATAAAGGAGGAACGATTGATTTCGGCTCATGGGTTCAAACATCTCATGTTGGCCACCTGGCTCCATTGGTGGAACAGGACGGCGGAAGGGCGTCATGGAGCAAAGATGATCACGTCATGCTTAATCCCCTTCGGGCCACGCCCCAATGACATCACTTCCTCCCTCTAGGCCCCACCTCCTAAAGGCTCAGCTCACTCTCAGTAGCTCATTGGGCTATGAATCCATCAATCTTCCCGCGAAGGCCACGCCCCCAATGACCTCATTTCCACTAGGCTCCGCCTCCTAAAGGCTCCACCAACTCCCCATGGCCCCTTGAGCTACACATCCATGTCTTCCCTTGAAGTTTTCCTTTCTTTGTTTTTTTTTGGTGGGACTGGGATTTGAACTCAGGGCTTCATGCTTGCAAAATAGGCACTCGATGGCTTGCGCTGTGCCGCCTGTCCCCAGGTTTTATTTTATTTTATTTTATTTTTTTAGAAACTTTGTCTGGTGACACCGTTTAGCTTAAAGCAGAAGGTCACGATTAAGCGGTGATAATATATGGCCAGTAGAATTCAAGGGATATATTGAAAGTACATTTATTGCAGTATATAAAGCACATATGATATTATTTTTCCTTTCCAAAATGCATGTACTGCACACACACCATTGTCCTCTAGAAAATGGGCGCTTTTGAATTTTTTGTGAGCTGCACAGGCTCAGCCCGTCCTCCCCCCTCGGCCCTAGGTGAATTTCGTTTTTGGTTTTCTTTTTCCTTCTTTTTTTTTTTTTTTTTGCAGAAAATCAACCTCAATAGGCTTTGGGGCGAGAGCTGGCTTCTCTCTGCTTTCCTTGGCAGGCTCCGTCCCAGCCGGATCGCTGCCTGGCTGTGCGAGACGTCGCCGAGTGCGGCTGTGACCTTTCCGTCACTGTGCAGCTGCACAAAGGGGCCCTTGTCCCCTTGCCGGCGCCCGTGCCGGGCGTCACGCCGTGACCTCTGCTCCTCGCGAACAGGGGAGACTTTCCCTGTGGCCAGACCAGAGAGAGCAGGGGCCCCCAAAGAGCTGTGACCTCCCGGTCACAGGGCAGCACATGCGGCTCCAGCAGGACGCCTGGGCCCTGGTCCCCATCCCAGCTCAGTTTCTCATCTGAGCCCCGCGACTCCCGGCAAATCCAAGCCAGGACCCCGGCTCTGGGTCGCTTCCCTGCCGCGTTTGCCTTTTCCACGCAGCGCCTCAGAAAGCCCCAAACGAGGCTGCCTCAAATCCTAACCCTGACTTTCCTCTTTGAAAAAGCACATTGCTGCTACAACATCCCCACGTTCAAGTCTCCCCCTGCTTCTGTCTGTCTGTCTGTCTGTCTCTGTCCCTTTCCAGGTCCCCCGTTAGAAGCCAAAGTTAACCCAGTTACCTGGAGATCAGCTTGGTCCCTGCCCGGGAGGCCGATGGTGAACTGCAAATTCCCGGGAGCCGATGGTGAACTGCACAGCCCCGGGAGCCGATGGTGAACTGCAAATTCCCGGGAGCCGATGGTGAACTGCACAGCCCCGGGAGGCCGATGGTGAACTGCAAATTCCCGGGAGGCCGATGGTGAACTGCACAGCCCCGGGAGCCGATGGTGAACTGCAAATTCCCGGGAGCCGATGGTGAACTGCACAGCCCCGGGAGCCGATGGTGAACTGCACAGCCCCGGGAGCCGATGGTGAACTGCAAAAGCCCGGGAGGCCGATGGTGAACTGCAAAGCCCCGGGAGCCGATGGTGAAACTGCAAAGCCCCGGGAGGCGATGGTGAACTGCAAAGTCCCGGGAGCCGATTGGTGAACTGCAAAAGCCCCGGGAGGCCGATGGTGAACTGCAAATTCCCCGAGCCGATGGTGAACTGCAAAGTCCCGGGAGCCGATGGTGAACTGCAAAGTCCCCGGGAGCCGATGGTGAACTGCAAAGCCCCGGGAGGCCGATTGGTGAACTGCAAATTCCCGGGAGCCCGATGGTTGAACTGCACAGCCCCGGGCCGATGGTGAACTGCAAAGGCCCCGGGAGCCGATGGTGAAACTGCAAAGCCCC